AGCTTGGCAGCGGCCGTGATTGAAGAGATACACGAAGGCGTCTGTTCCAGTCACCAAGGCCCTCGTACTCTGGCTCGGAAGATCATCTTGCAAGGGTATTACTGGCCGACCATCCAGCAGGACTGCTTCAACCACACTCGGAAGTGTGCAGTATGTCAGCAATATGCCCCCGTCCCCGGGCGGCCGGCAAGCTTCTACACCCCGATGACGGTTGCACTACCCTTCGCCAGGTGGGGCATAGATCTACTGGGCCCTCTCCCGACGACGACCGGCGGAAGGAAGTTTGTCATTGTGGCAATTGACTACTTTACAAAGTGGGTAGAGGCCGAGCCGCTGGCCTCCATCACCGAATATCAATGTCAGAAGTTCCTCTGGCAGAATGTTATATGCCGCTTCGGGATTCCAGAACAGGTCATCACCGACAATGGCCGGCAGTTCGTTGGCAGAGGATTTGAGACATACCTGGCGAAGTGGGGCATCAGGCACTCCAAGGCCTCGGTGGCCTACCCGCAGGCCAACGGCCAGGTGGAGAACATGAACCGGACCATCATGGATGGGATTAAGAAGAAATTGGAAGATTACGCGTCCACCTGGCCGGAGCAGCTCAATTACATACTCTGGACATACAGAACAACCCCAAGGACGGCAACCGGCGAGACACCTTTTGCTTTGGCATACGGATTCCAGGCCAAGGTACCAACGGAGGTGCTAGTGCCCACACATCGCACGAAACACTTCCAGCCGGAGGACAACGAGGCAAACCTACGAGCGGAGCTCCATTTCATTGAGGAACGAAGAGACCTAGCAGCTCGTCGCATGGAGGAATATCACCGAGCCACCCAAAGATACTTCAACAAGGCGGTGAAGATCCGCGAAATTGAAGCGGGGGACCTCGTACTCAGAAAGAGAGACAAGAGCAGGCCACTCGAAGGTGGCAAGATGGCCAAAAACTGGGAAGGGCCGTACAAGGTCATAAGAAGATACAGCCAGGGGACGTTCCTCCTCCACACCTTGGAAGGGAACCACGCTGGGATCTGGAACGTCGAACACTTGAAGAAGTTCTACCAATAATTAGAGATAGATCGTTGTAATATTTTGGTCGAAGTTCCATGTAACACCGCCGATCGTCATCTCTATATTAAAAGATTACTTCTGTTCTTCACTTCCTATAAAGAGGTTAAAAGCCGAAGTGCTATTGAAATGATTTCCTCCTCAAAAAAAAAAAAAAAAAAAAAAAAAAGAGGAGAAGGGGAGATACGACTCCTGTGAGAGAGGGAGTCTTGACGAGGTATGCCTGATCTTCCTTCGCCGCGTATGACGAACGTCTCCCGACGCGGAGGTTAGTAGGAACGTGGGGGAGGCTAGACGTACAAAAGGGAACCTCGGCAGGATAAACCAGTTCCTCCCATGACCCGCGGATCGACGAACACCTTCTGCCGAAGCAGAAGGTTAGTAGGGCCACGAGTATGGGGCGACGAAGCAGGGAATCCCGACGTGGATAAACCAGTGACCTCCTTGCGATCGTTGGATGACCGAACGTCTTCTTCGAAGTAAGAAGATTAGTAGGACAACGACAAGGACGAACGAAGCCTAGTTCCTCCCCTGATGAGCGCATGACGAAAGCCTTCTGCGAAGCCAGAAGACTAGTAGTTCGCGGCTGGGGACGAACGGAGAGAGGGAATCCCGACGTGGATAAACCTGTTTTTTCTCAAGGCGGGGATGGCGAACGTCTCCTGCGAAACCAGGAGACAAGTACCCACGAAGCTAGGGAAGGACGAAGACTGATAAAAAGACTCCAAAGAAAAAAAAAAAAAAGGGAGAAAGAAAGAGGAATGGAGCAAGAAATGTTAGACGAACATGGAACAAACAATGATTTTTATTCTTCGGTACTGATGACCAGAAAGTACAATGTGTGATGTAAATTACAGTGTAAATAATTGTAAGATACAGACTATGAGCGGAGAGTCAAGTTTGGCCGGCGTCAGGAGTTGGGGCCGTAAAGGGGACCTGCTTGGTTTTTTCCCTGGCCTCAGCTTCTTCACGCTCCTTACGCCCCCTCAGCAGTTCAAGGGCCCCCGTATGGGCGTCTACCATCAGGGAATCGAAGCCAGCTGCCGCAGGATCAAAAGGAGCCCCAAAGTGACGCTCGAAGACCGGAAGATTCTCTGCCACGAGGCCGACCATACCCTTAAGATAAGTATCGTCGGCAAGATCATCGAGGAAGCGTTCCCCAGTAGGAGTGGCCTGGAGCAATTTGACGCCATCCAGATAAGGGTCCGGGCAAGTGGCCAAGAACTCACCGACGAGCCTCGGAAGGAACCTCATGGCCATGGTATGAATGGCACCGGTGTAGGCCTTGGACTTCTGGAACTCAATGGAACCAGACTCCTTGATCTTTGAAACATCGGCCTCATAGATGGGGACATGATTATCCACACCCGTACGGCGGATTTCCACCTTTGCCTGTTCCACAGCCCACAGCCGGCTGCGAAGGTCCACAAGCTCGGCCTCCTGCTTCCTAAGGAGCTCTTTCTGGGAAATGCTCTCCTGGACGAGCTTGTCATAGGCATCGGCCTTCTCTTGAAGCGTTCCGGCCCTGCCCTTGGCGTTCCTCAAGAGGGCATCGCATTCAGCCCGCACACGAGCCATTTCCTTGCCTTGATGCTCGAAGGCCATCCGAGCCCTGTGGAAATACAGCCCGGCCTTGTCAAGGGTGCTCTGCCCACATTCCAGGAGATCCTCAGGAGCCTCCTGGGCGGCGAAATCTTGGGGGACCTTGAGGTTGAGGCCGCACCAGATCGAAGACGCGGTCTGGCCAAAGAGCATCATCGACTCCTTGCGAGGGCCAACCCCGGAGAATTCGATAAGGCCAAGGGAGGACCCGTTGGTTTCTGGAGGCGAAGGGGGACGAGCATCGTCAGAACCCTTGGTAGCATGGACATCTTCATTCCGAAGTCGACGAACCTCAGAGTTGGCCGGAGGGGAGACAGGGGGCTTGTTCCGGGAGGAGGGTCTCCGCTTCAAGGGACTTCCCGGCTCACCGTCGGAGTCATCAGCCACTATGATGGCTTTGGAGGCGGTACCATCGATGCGGAGCCTCTTTGACGCCCCGGCCTCCGGCGCATCGTCTGATCGTCTCCTGCTCGCCCGAGACTCAATCTTGGGGACGAGCGGCTTCCTGCCCTTATCCTCATTCTTGTTGTCGCGACCGTGGGCATGCGAAGTAACGTTGGTGCGCCCCATGGGTGATATAGATGGGAAAACTCCTGCAGAAAGATAGTCAAGACGTTCAGAACCATAACAACGAAAGGGTGATAGGACAATGCAAGTACAAACAGACGCACCTAGTCCGGCCCGAGCCTTGAAGGGCTCGGCCACCAGCGACCGAAGGTTCTGGATGCCAAGACCAGCTATGCGCTTGGCGTAGCCAAGCTCCTCATCCGTCATAGGCGGCGGAATGGACTTCACCGGATAGGCGTTCCACCTATCGGAGAATGGCATCGGGGAGCCTACTTCGGCGAGGAAGAACCGTTCCTCCCAGCCGTCCGGGTTCCCGGCGTTGTTTGAGAACAGACCCATGGACGAACGCGCGATGAGGGTTAAGTACCCCGTACGTCCAAAGGGGGATAACCGGAAGAAATGATGCAATAAGTCGACGGTAGGGGTCACGTCAACACTGTGACACCGAATTATAAAACCCGCAATGATCCTATAGGCAGCGGGGACGAACTGAGCAGGCGCCACTCTGAGGCTCCTAAAAAGCTCTATATGGAAGCTATGGAGGGGGAAAAGGAGACCGGCTATAACGGAGTCTAAATGGACCACCACATAGCCGGGCTGATGGCGCATTGGGTTGCGCAGACGACGATCGTCATAACCCCTTGGGGGAAGGAACCATTGGCTTATCAACCGACGATCGGCGTTCAAAAGACACTGGCGCTGACGACGAACGCCAGAAAAATTCAGGTGATGTCGGGGGGGCCATGGTGGCATACCCCGCTCATAGAATTCTAGATCATCACCAGAGGAGCACCCATCGTCAAACCTATCCCCGGAGGTCGACGAGCTGTTTTGGATCCTTGAATCAATGGTTTGGGGTCCCAGCATAGGCAAAGACATGACGACGTTCGGTACCTACGGGTGTTGGGGACTGAGGCAGCGCCGAGAAAAGCTAGAGAGAGAAAGTGGTTGCGCAGCACAAGAGCTAGGGATGAGGCAAATGGAGAATTCGCGAGACCTTGGGTACTTATAGACAGCACCGCGGGATCGCACCAACCACAGTGGAACACGTGGCCCCTGGATACCGGTACCTACCGCGGCATTAAAGGCACCTCGATGTTACCACCCCACAACCACCGCGAAGGAAGCCGGTTTAATGCCACGAGCGTCCCCCATAGGGGCACACAGGGACCGCACCCACAGGCTGTTCACGGAAAGACGTGCATATTCGCGGGATCTGGTCCTGCTGTTCCAAGGAAGACGTGCGTGTTTCCATGCTTCACAAAACTGGAACGCGGGCCCAACCAGACGAACGTCCGCGAACGGTATCTGGTTTAAGCACAAGACGTAAAAGGTCATGATGTTCTTAACGCGACGGACTTCTCTACCAAAGCATTGTTCCTGGGGAGTGCGTTCGTATCCCCACATCTAGCCGCACAGGCGAACGTCACGGATGGTCGTGCCTATAACCACGTGACGAACGTCTCCACCAACTCCGATCCGGGATTACGCATGCAGGGTCAGCTCCCGAGCATACGAACGTATCTCGAGAGATTGGGGTACAGGAGCGAATTATGGGCACGAACGTATCTCGAGAGATTGGGCTATATTCCATAATGGCAAAATGCTACTAACAATAAAAGAAAGCGGGAAGAGTTATGAACGTAGAGACAATGATGGGGCAAAAAAGTTATGTATTCCTCGGCTCTACTGGCCGGATAAGTACATAGTCAAAATGAAGAAATTATGGGCTACATTAAACAAAATTTGGGGGAAACAGGCCGGGACCCCCCAGGAACGGTCTCTTCTTCCTCTTCGGGCTCGGGCTCGGGGGTCGGAGGCTCCGGAACTTCACCCCTGGCTTTGGCTTCTTCCCGCCGGGCGTCCCTCTCCAGCTTGCCCACTGCCCGTATCAACTCCGGGTCCGTGGTGTGCTGGGCCAGATCGAATCCGGGACCCTGAAGAGCGGCGAAGACCGGCAATGTGGCCTTTACCCCCTCGTTGTAGCCGATGACAAAGGAGCTATCCCCAACATCATACAGGAACTTCTCGGCCAGGGGGGCACTCTCCAGGACCTGGACCCCGAACTTGAGCCGGTCCTTCGGCGCACGCTTCTGCAGCTCGGCGGCGAATACATCGCCGAAAGCACCGCCGAGATACCTCTGGGCGGAGATCATGAAAGCCCCAGAGTTACGATACCCGGTATCATCGACGAGCCATTCAGGGGCCTCGTCCTTGGGAGCAGGGAGAGCTGGGACGAGCTTGAACCCGGCCTTATCCAGAACCGCGAGCTTCGCGGAGGACTCGCGGGCTACTTTCAGGGCGGCCTGCAGTTCTTTGTCCTTGGCCGCCAGCTCCTTCTCCTGAAGACGAGCGGCCTCTCTCGCCTTCTTCAGGGCCGCATCTGCCTTATTCTTGGCCTGGAGGGCATCGGCATCCCGAGCAGCCTCGGCCTGCAGCGTAGAGAGTCCAACCTACAAAAGAGACACAGAGGATGAGACTTCAATTCAACAGAATACGGAAATCTGCCGCCCAACGAGAGGCGAAGTCTCACCTGAAGAGCGGCGGCCAGAACCGCATTAGAGGCCTCCGAAGACGTCCGGGGAGGCATTTCCACGCCGACCAGAGAGGCAATCTCCTGCCAGACATCATGAGCCGGACGCCCAAGGGAGGGAAGGATCAAGTCCTGCTCGTCGGGGGCCGAAGAGGAAACCCCCCGGGGCCTCTTGGACTTCTTGTCCTTCGCCTTCTCTCCCTCATGGGGATGGACGGCCTGCAGAGGTGCCACAACCTCGGGGACGCCAGGATTAAGGATTGGGGCCTGGGACCCCTGCGCCATCACCGTGGCGATGAGGTGCTGTTCCGCCTCCACCGTGCGACGATCGGCCTGGGAGGCGGAGGAGTTAGAATCTGCTGTTTGGGCGGTCTTGGCCTTGGCAAGGGCAGCATCAGCAGCAGCGCCTTTGCCCTTCCTCGTCCTGAGGAGCTTCTCGTGGTTCATTTGTTCTTGGGTCGGGGGGAGACCTGAAAGGAGAAACAAGGGAAACGTGTTAGATGGACGAGCGTCAGGAATAACTCACCTCGGAGGCCAGGACCGCCCAATACCCCGAGACGAGCATAGAAGGGGAGATGTCCGAGAGCATGGGCGGTACCTATTCCTGCCGCGGCGAGTGCCTCGAAAGTTAGGAAGTCATCTAAGGGCCGGATGCCGCCCGTCGAGATCTTTCTAATGTCCTCCTCCAGATTGTTGGTCAGCTCCGGAGATCCTATCTTGGGCGGATAGCCGTTCCAACGCAATGGCAGACGAGCATCTGCATACCGCACGAAGAAGAACCGATTTTTCCAGTCATGGATGGAGCTCGGTGCTCCGCTGAACAACCTCCGCTTCGGACGGGCTGCAATGCTCAGGAAACCGTCGGAATTCTGGGGGGTGAGCCGATAGAAGTAATGGAACAGATCCAAAGTGGCGGTGACCCCGTTGTCCTTGCAACGGACTAGGAAGGCGGAGAGCCACCGATAGGAATTCGGCATGAGTTGAGCGGGGGCTATCTGGTAACAGCAAAAGAATTCCACAAAGAACGGATGGAGGGGGAAACGCAGCCCAGCCTCGATGGAGTCCAGAAGCACCATAATCATCCCTGGACGTCTCCTCATCACGTGGGTTGCGCCGCGGAGGCTGTATACGGACGGAGGGGGGAAGAACACCTTGAGCTTGTTAAGGGCCACCGGTGAGAAGATCTGCTCATGACAGAGGACATTCTTGATCGGGCATAGATGCCTTTCCACATCTATCTTTAGCCCGAGGTCAAAAACTTCGATGTCGGAACCATCCTGGGCCTCGACCCCAGAGTCATATCCGTCCGGACGACCGTCCTCACTGGCGGACTCCTGTTCCCCGTCTTCAACCACGAGATCCGCCACATCGAGAGCCATGCTGTTCTGCTCCCCCGAATCAGCACCCTCCTCACCAGGGACGGTCGCAACAACACCAATTTGGGCTTCCCCGGCCTGAACAGTTCCCACGGTAGGGGCCGAGCCAGAACTACCGGAAGTGCTAACTTCGCCCGAAGAGCGTGAACCAGAGTCGGAAGAGGAACCCGAGGAGGAACCCGATGAATCTGAGCCAGAACTTGACGAGATCTCCATCGAAACCATCGCAGCAGGAATTCAAGACAAGAAAAAGAAGCAGAAGATGGAAGTTACCTTAGAGGGATTAGCCGAACTTGGAAACGGGAGAAAATGTGAAGAGCTGCGGAAACTCAAAGACAAGAGGGCAGAAATCGGGAACCCTAACCCAGAGGGAAAACCCGGCATTTATAGGAGAGACACCGATGGGGGGACCAACGAGGGACGGACACGTGGCAAGGAGCGTATTCCGTCTCACGCGCTGTGCGTGGGACGAAAGTGTAATGATGGCATTTCCTCGGAAAGTGCACCGCCGCTACAGCAGCCGCCACCTCGTTTCCTGAACCGTCGACAGCTGTTAAGCACCATGACCACGAGCGTATGCTTCCGCCAGAAGCAATAAGACACAAGTATCAAGACACGAACATCCATTTCGGGGCACCTATACTTCCTTATGTCCTGCGCATGCTCAGAACATCAGAAGTGGGGGACTTGTGTTGGGATAATGGCCCAGGCCGAGGTCCGGCCCATTAACCCCCTTTTTCTATCAGACGCACGTCATGCTAGGACCAGGCTGGGCGCAGGCCCATGACCCTTGGGAAGAGACGAACGTCTGGAATGGGGGGTTCCAGGTTTCAAACGGCCCATCGCGACGAACGTATGTGCGGAGGTAAGGGGCAGGATCACTGGCCATCAGGCATAACGACGAACGTCTCCTGGGCAGGCCCATGATCGTCGGAGGAAATCCAGTCCACATGGAGAGAATCCACCAAGGTCAGGGGACGAACAGCCGAAGTCTCTTGAGGGTCACTTGGAGTGACCCAACTCACCCCCTGGCGGACGAACGTCCCCATTATTTAGGCGGGAGCCTAGATTCTGGCGGGAAATGCATTTAATGCAGAAGATTTGGTGGTTGGGACACAAGCGGTCCGCAGGCCTCCACGTCAGCATAGCCACCTGCCCATTGGCGGGTATAAATAGAAGCATTTATTTCATTGTAAAGGGTTGGCAACTTTCTATTCTTAGCACTCTAGCTATAGTATTCTTACTCGCAGCACTTCTACTGCCCTGTAAGACGAACGGCCGACGGAGCCTTAGCGGGAAGTATTGTATTAGGGAGTTATTAAGAGATAATAATACCTAATCATTTACTTGCTACCTTACTGCTTCCCCAATCCATATCATCTGCTTGTTGGGCTAGTTTAATCACACATTCCATTCGAAATCCTTGGGCTTACGTGTTGGACCCGGGGGTTGAAGGAATAAACCTCAACATCCCCTAATATTCTTAGGGAGTGTTTGCAATAGTTTAAAAAAACACTTTTCAGCTTTTGGCTTAAAAAAAAACTTATTTATCAAACACTACCAATTTTTACTTTTTCTCGGCTTGCGTGTGAAAAATGTTTTTCCCTTTTCTATTACACAAAAAACATTTAGTTTACGAAACACTACCAACTTTTACTTTTCAAAATTGACTTTTTTCTCAAACACTATCAACTTTTACTACTTATCACTTTTTCCCAATCACTCCAAAAGTATTTTTTAAGCAAAAGCAATTGCAAACACTCCCTTAGACTTGTGCGCATAGTACTACGAAGATCATTGGCAATATTTTAAACTTAAAGCACATAAGTCATTTTAGGATGTTTTTACTTGTACTGTAATTTGCTGGTCTGGTCTGGTCTGATTTTTTTGTATTTTTATAATACCCAAGTCTGGTCTAGTCTGATCTGATCTGGTCTGGGACAAATTACAGTCCAAATAAAAACATCCTTAAAGCACTACAAATAGTCTTTGAATTTATTTCATATTTCCGCATCCCTAACATGTCTAAAATTTTAAATATGAACTTCACTAATATCACAACAATTTATAGACTCCGTCAATATAGTTTCTCCCTACATTGTAGCACCATCAATAAAATACATTTTACATACTTGCATTTCATTTTAATAAAACATTAATTAAATTACTATAAGTAATGTTTTTCTTTGATTTTTTCCTCAATAAAATATCAAATTAAGAAATACACATTTAGATGTCAAAAATAAAAATTTCATTAGTTTTGTATATTCCGGTTGATAAAATGTAAAACAGGTTCAAGTAGAGTATGGTTATTGATCTCATATGAAAAATAATAAAAACATGCATTTCAATATATATTTTTGTAAAAATTGATCTACAAATAAAAAATTATACGTAGTAATAATTATAAAAAAGATTTATTTGTTGGAGCCCACTCCCTACCTCATCCCCTTTCATTTTGACATTTGAACTCTTAATACCTTAAAATTAAAAAGGGTCTAAAGACTTCTAATCTGAGCGTTTTTGTATTTCTAATTTTCCTATTTGCTCGATTACCATTTTAAGCGGCAAAAGAAAAAAAAAGTTTAGGGTATGTTTGGCACAACTAGCGGCAAAGATACTTTTGTAAGCTTTTTAATAACTGTTAGCTTTTAGTGACTGAAAAGATCTTAAAAAAAAGGTGACTGTTTGATTTAGTTCGGTTTGGTATACAAGCTGTTAAGACTAATTAATACTAAAAGTCACGAGCTTTTCTCAGATGCTACACCCGGTAGCATCTCAAAAAAGATCTTTTAATTTTTGAAAAGCTCTTAAAAAATGTCATGCCAAACATACAACTAGAGTCTTTTAAGGTCATTTTAAAGAAAAGAGAAGCTAGAAGGCAGAGAGACTTTTGTGTGCCAAACATAGCCTTAATTTGGTTTTACAATTTTATGTTGATCTCATAAACTTAAATTTTATTAATTCCTTGACTTGAACAAATAATACTAGAAAGACTTGTGTATTTAAAATTAGTATATCAAATGTTGATATTTTATAAAATTTTCATTATAAAATATCAAGAAATATTCAAAACCTTAGAACGAGGTAATTAATAGTCAATATACTTGCATAAACATGAGGTGGACCGTTGACGAGTGAATAAACTGTAATATTTCAAATAGTGGCATAGTAAATATTATTTCTGTCTTTTCTTTAAATGCATTATTTGATAAGCATTACACGGTCAAATATATTAACACTAAATTATATGACACACAACGTATACATATCGAACATAACTTAACAATAAAATTTTTCCCAAAAAAAAAAAGTTGACACTAACATACAACAACATATGAGTAAATTGAGAAAAGGGTCAAATAAGGCCTTCTACTATTATGAAATAGTCACATAAGGTCATGTACTCGATAAAGTGTCATATAAGTACCTCTACTTGTAACAAACAATCAAATGAGTCCGAACGACCTATTTACAACCTCCTAATCCCGGTTTTAGTTTACATGCCGAATTTTTTGACTTGTATTTCAACCAATCTTAGTTAAATATTTGACGCATGCGGCATCATCAATTCTAAAAAGTTGGTCAAAAGTACGCTAAAATCGGGATTAAGAGGTGTTAAATATGTCATTAGGATTCATTTGATTGCTTTTTACAAGTAGAGGTACTTATATGACACTTTTTTGAGTACATAATCTTATGTGACTATTTCATAATAGTAGAAGGTC